CCCAATCGTTAAAGTGGCAAACAATGAAGAACAGAGAAACAAAGAAGAAACATAGACAGAGGACGAGTTCGACTTCGAGGCCGTACGAGCAACGGCGATACATTGTAGCTTGAACGTGTGTCTAGTGGATACTGCGACTAACGGGGAGTTAATTAAATCGGCGACACGACCCACTTTCGTATAATTACGATACTTGAACTTGGAGTTTCGAGCGTTTGGAATTTTATTTATAGCGGTGATGTGTGCGAGCCTCTCTGCGTGGATCTACGCATAAATATTATCGCTTGGAAGCGTAGCGTGAATCACATCGATGTGTCATAGACGGGAAACACTCCTCTATCGAACTTTATAAAACACCGACCGCATATTTCTGCGAGCGTGTCGCGCCGGTAAATTATAATCGATACCCGCGAATCTCGCCCGCGGAGGTTGTTACAAATGCACACCCGATGCGCGGGGATTCCAGTGGACGACGTTCAGGAATCTCGTTCAGCCGTGACGTCCATAAAACGTACACGTACGTATCGGCAAATAGTCGGGACTATTATTCGCTCGCTCGCTCGCTCGCGAAAAACCGTCTTATCGCGCGCTCCGTGTAGAACCCTCTTAGCGGGTATATTTTTAAACGATAGCTCTTTGCGACTACCCCCTCCCCCCTCAAGACATTCGATCGGCTGGCAGAGACAGTTCTTATCGACTCCTCTCGGAACGGTGACTCTATCGACAACAAAACACCTCACCGGAGTTATCCGGTGTGCAAAGTCGTCGTCGGTGCGTCGTGATACGAAGACCGCAACGGGCACCGGCTACCACGGCGAATACATCACGGCTATCAATTATCGTGATATACTAGTACGTAAAGTGGCTACCGGTCAGCCGGTATTAATCCCGGTAATAAATTACTCGTTCCCGCGACGTCGTTAGGCGCGCTCGCTCCTCGCAAAAGTGCGCCCCATTTTATTGCGCGTCCGATAGCTCTTCCATCAAACGCTATCGTTCGCGCGTGAAAACTCGTCGCTGATACCGCTCATTTATCTAGCCGCGCTGTTAAATGCGCCATGGGTCTTCGATAGAGCCGGCACGGGAAGGGGGGAGATGGGCGATATTTTCTCGCTCTCCCGACGAGGAGAAGAAGTCGCGGGACCGCCGCGTGTACAGTCATTTTTATTCTCGCGGAAGTCGCGCGGCCGGGCGAAAATTACCGCTCATCCGCGCGAGCTTATATTCGCGACACGCGCGTTTGTCTTCCTCCTTCGTTCTTTGTGCGCGTGTTATCTCGGCCGATAACTATCTCTCTCGGTCGCGAAAGAAAGAGGAGCCGCGTGTCGTGAAAGGAGAGCCCGGTGCGTGTACGCAGTTACGTACGGTCGTTATTCGATGTAACTTTTAAGAGACCGTGTTCGTGCGCCCTACTCGTCGCTCTTCGTCGAACAGGATCGTTACTTATTTTACGAACGGGCCTCGTTACCCCGCCGACGGCTTAAAACCGCCGCGTACGTACCGCGGCGAAAGGCCGCGCGCGCGCTCTTTCACTCGCGAGATGTGTTTTTCAAATCGATTCGCCGGCTATCTCCTGCCTCGTAAAGGCATCGCGCCGATGAAGTGGCATTAATATTCGTAGTTGCGTTATTTGCGCGCGTTATCGTAAATTACGGCGGCGGACGGCCGCGCAGAGGGAAATCGCGATGCCGTGTAATAGTCACTTTTATATACCCGCGGTTGCCTCGCGCAATCGCCTATACTCACATTTATACGGCAAGTATATCCACTTACATAATGCGTTTGTTTCTGCGAATGACGCGTTTGGTATCGCGCCGTTTATCTCGGGAACCGCGCGGCGCGGGAATGTCCGTGACGTTGACGGAGTTCCCAGTTCGTTCGAATCGAATTTCGAGAAAGTTCCCTTGCGATCAAATTCCCCTCCTTTTATTTTGCGGGGGAGCCTTCGTTTGGCGGCCACGTGGTACGCACACGTGCTCCCACGACTCAGTTCACCAGCACATATTTTCTTGAATATTTACTTGCTCCGGCAGTTACCGAATCAGATTTCATCCGTACTGTGCTATCCGTATTAACTAATCATCCGATTAAACAACTGAATATCACATAATACGAAAGCTACATTAAACTTGCATATTCGTATCGCACTGATCATCAGCGTTGGGATTTATGTCTTACTAGAAACTCTGAAACCAGTGGTTAAAAGAGAGAATAGAATAGAATAGAATCAACTTTGCTACACTCCAGGATAAATTCTGTAAGAACAACTATTAATACATTATAAAAGTACAGACAGCTGTCGTAAAGAAAAGTGCATGAATAATAAGAGAAAAATGTAATGATGAAACACTAATTATTGATAATACACAGTGATGTATCACTAAATAACGATATAATAGAGAACCAAGAGTGAGATGAGGATAACATTGAAGAACTTGCGCATTGCAGTTTAAGATTATGATGACACGGAAGAAAGGAATTAGCTGTCCAACTGAAACGGTACAACTGAAATTTAGTTATCAGTTCGAATTTTCAGATGGAACGAAAAAATAGGTATAATTAATGTATAATTAAATCACACTGTTTATAAATCACACGACTTTGCATCGCAATGTCGCGTACAGGAAAACTTGTACTATACGTGGAACGGATTCTTTATCACGTCGGGAATACGTGCCGGAGAACGGCCTCGAAACGGGTCCCTCGCGTGATTAGAATTCGGACGCAAATTTTACTTTCTGCCCTCCTCATTGAGTCATTTCATCGCGGCGAGAACTTTCTTTCTTTTCGTCCACGTGAATACGCGCGCGACCCGAAAGAATTCAGACCGGCGAAGTAAGCCGGAACAAGTTCGCGCGAGAGCCATCGCGCGACGATCGTCGCGAGGATGAAAGCAAGATGAATCTCGCTACGTTCCGTCGTGTTCCGTCCAACCGCTCGAAAAATAAGAAGATTAATGCAACGATTATTAATGGCAGATTACCGCGTCACTTTTTTCCCCCCATCGAGACAGCGGCGAGCCCCGAACGTACGGATCCGTCGCTCGGGAATAATAATAATTTCGACGTTTTAGCGACGCGCGACTCGTAAACTCACGGACCGAGTCCGACATCGGTCGCATTACGCGTTACATACGTTGTCATAAATACGGACGGACTTAAATCCGGCACAATGCATGTAACGAGGATATTGTGACAGCAACGGCATTTCAATGTCAGCTCATGATCCGATTAAAGAAGAAAAATCGACGCGGCTACGAGGGCTCGCGCGCTTTGGATTAAGTCGGCCGAAGGACCCTCGCGAGTGCGCTCGATAAATGATAAATGTCGGAACGACGCGGCGATGTCAGTGCTGCGAATGTTAGTCTCGCTCCGGTGATCTCTATCTTCCGCGGCAGGAACGCTCGCTCGCTCAGGTAGATCGTGTCTCGCGTGCCCGTAACTTCTACTTACACAACGCGAAACAGGAAAACAGATCCGCTCGAAAGAGCGCTCTTTATATTACGGCATCGCGACGCATTTTGTTATATGGATATTGTTGCGTCTCGAAGAGGGAGAGAGAGAGAGAGAGAGAATCGGTACGACCGGCCTGATTGTGAACCGGTTCTTGCGGGGGTCGCGCAAATGGCAGAAATGATGGCGAGTATCAATATTCCTAGTGTAAAAAGCACCTTTACGTCTCGAAATCGCACTATTGATGCGAGGGTACGCTGTCGGGACGATAATATACTCGCGTGTAAAGCGTACGACCGTCTCGTAGTATTCCGGGAATTCTTACGAACATTCTTGTGAAAGAGATAGGCGATCTCGTGAGAAACCAGTAGAACCGTAAAGGCACGCCGAGGAATTAAAATTCATGCGACACGTTGATGACCGCATCCGGTCCCGATTAAACGGTGCTCTCTTATCACCGACTAGTTCTACGAGTTTCACGCGTAACGCACATAATAACTATGACTTCAGTCAACGGACAATCCAATTTGCCGTGCGCCTCGCATTGTGAATGAGTTATTGTAATTACGTGAATCCGCGCGGACGATGATACACTTATTGCGTCGAACGTCTCTCGCGATTCTCTTCGAGCCTTTATGTTCACCCGCCTTCATTCACATACTTTGAATCGCAGATGTATAACAGACAGATTTTTTCACTGAGTTAATTAACAAACCGAACAAACGGTGAAAGTATGCAACAGCTATAGTTACGAAATAACCGTCGGACTTTTTCACCGTGTTGCGACGTTGGTTATGTATGATTACATAATCGTAGGAAATGCTCGAAATATCGCTCGCTTAATATTTTGCTCACGATCGATTTAACATTTCACTTACACGCATGTTCAACTTATTATTATTCCGAAAATATGCGTAATGATTTTCCCTAGTCCCCGGCGTGCCTAACATTTTAAAAAAGATTGTAGGCGTACGTGATACCATTTAGCCGCCACGTCATATGTATACGCGTGTCCGGTATGCGTCGGAGACGTTCCCGCTTTAAATACGACTGGGCATGAGAATCGGTCGTATAAAACGTGAAGACCGTTTCGTCGTTTTCTTACGAAATGCGTCGGCGTATTTCGGATTACGACGAAATCAAAGCCGGCCAGCCGCAGACGGGTACATGGGCCAACATGTCAATAAATTTCCCCAACGATGAACTTACAGCAATTTGGCTAACTTACGTGTCTGTCGAAGTAAAATGGGAATTCGATAAATCGTGTCTCGACGCATCGCCTAACGTTTCTGTCGGAATGAAAGCACTCGTTAGAAAATATGAATTAGCCTGCCAATTTGAATGAAATGATCGTCGAATATATTCCTTTATCCTCATGGTTATTTTTTATTAGTAATTTTTAATATTTTAATCAATTTAATATTTTAATAGTTATCCTTTTATTAGTATTATTAGATATTGTACAAGTAAAAAGGAATTTGAATTATACGACGCGGACTTCTTGCTGTCATACATATACCTGTACGTGGAAATTGATTTTGGTTCCAGAAGCCAATCCAAGGCTTCCTACTTGGCTTACAGACGAGAGCGCGGCGCTCCTGATAGCGAGGGTAGCTACAAGAGAACGATGTCGCCGACCTCTCGACTGGACGATTGGCCGCCTCCTAGGGACCACGACGACCCTGTGCTATTGCGGGTGACGCCGCATCATCCGTTGCAGCAGCAACAGCACCATCATCATCACAACAATCATCATCAACAGCAGCACTCCGACTTGTCCAAGTCGCACAGTGTGGACGCTCTTCATCATCGTTTGGACGAGAGACCCTCCCAACAGCAGCAACCGCAGCAGCAACAGCAGCAACATTCGGCGGAGGTGGTCAATAAGCTGTCGCACGAACTTAGCAAAAAGCTCCAGGCCAGCGAGGCGAGATCCCGCGCCAATAGCGAAAACAACAACAACGACAACCTCGAAGACCGTCATCAGCATCACCATCATCATCATTACCAAGAGAAGAGGCATACGGAGAAGAGACACGAGTACGAGCAACGCAGGGAGCGACTATCGCCGCAGAGCGTGGAGGTCCTTAACGACAGAAACCGGCAGCTGGAGCGGGAACGTCGGAAGTTGGCAGCGAGCTGCGAGCCCCTATCTCAAAATAGAGAGGTGAGATTATCTCCGGATATTTACCTTCGCGTAATAGCGATATTTGCGTGTTTTTCGCGCCTCCGCGGTCCACCTATTTTCGCGTCTACAAATATAGCAATGTCAAGGACGTGGCGGATTCAGTTCACGCCTCTGTAACATTCGGGCTTCTCACCGAGCTCGTGTGACCCGTTCAGAACTTCACTCCGCCGTTCACCTCTCGTCGTTGTTGTTCCGCCGCTCCGACGTACCGCGTTTCAAACGATACATTCTGGCCGATAGTTGATAACTTTTTAATCGCTCAATTTCACGCTTTGTCGCCCTACCGCTACTCCCCTCCCGATTCACGAGGCTCGAACGGTTGCTTCCAGAAGCAGCTGCGCGAAATCGGCGGCCCGCTCACCGGCGACGACTTCTTCCGCGAGAGGAGCGCCACGATCGAGATGACCTCGCAGAACATCGAATTGCTGAATCGCCGGAACGAGAAGAGGACAGAACGCGGCACGACGACGTCGGGCAGCACGATATCCACGTACTCGATGAGCACCACGACGTCATCGATCGCGACGACGACGATGATGGCGGCTTACGACAACGGTTGGTCGCGGGCCGAGACGCAGAGCTCGATAGAAGGTACGATCTTCCCCGAGAGACCACCACCTCCGACGAGCTCGCCGCCGCGTTCGCCGGACAACGTCGAGAGCCCGAGCCCGCGAGGAGCTATTCCGAGACGATCGGGAAGCTGCTCGAGCTCCTCGTCCTCGGGGAGATCGGTCGACGCTCGCGTATCGCCGCGCACCTTGCTGTCCAGATCGCCGCCGAAGAACTCCCCGGACTCTCTAACGAGGAACGAGGCGCGAATCGAGTGCAACAGGAAGGTCTCCAGCCCGACTCAGACGGACAACACGGGTTCTTGGAACAGATCCAACTCGCCGAGCCGGGTGACGATGAGTCAGACGAGCCCCGAAGCGGAAAAGCCGTCCTCCAAGTTCCGCTCGGTCGGCGGCGGCAGGTCGCCCGCTTCCTCCATCTCGAGCGTCTCGAAAGCCTCATCCTCGCCGCCGAACTCGCCGGTGGACGAGGAGGACAAACTGTCGCCGACCTCGTCGCTCTGCGTGTCGCCCCAGCCGGGCATCGAGGGGCTGACGTTGGTGCAGCGCACGGAGGTCGTGCTGCGGGTGAACGCTGCTACCAGCGACGCCGCCTCGCAGACCGACACCTTGGAGGACACGGAGCGGGACTGCAAATCGCCCAGGCCGTTTCCCGAGTCGAGGAAAAAATTGCCGGAGGAAATCGAGTGCGAGGAGCTCAGCAGAGACTTGGCCAGTCAACTCAGCCCCAACGACAAGCTGGTGCCTATACTCGGTGAGTCCCGATCTTTATCGTACTGTCTCAATTGCATGAGTAATGACCGAGGGCGAGTATCATTCGTACGACGGTTTCGCCATCCGTCCCGCCGTATCGTTAATAAACGTCAATGTACTTGATACACAATTAGATAAGTTATTCAATTTTTTCACCGCGGAACTCGCGCTGACATATTTACGATCTGTCTAGCCGCGGTGTCGCATTCGCGCGTCGTCGCACGCTCGCCTTACGGTGCGTGTGAACGTGTGCGTGCGCGACGTACGTGCGCGCACGCGCGCAATTATCATCCGGGACACACGGGTGTGTCGTTCGGGAGCGACGACCCTTCATTTTAATAAGCGCTAATTTAATCAACCATACGACTGCGTTATTCAATTATACGCTCTCGCCGGTGCCGCGATATTCGATGCAATCCCCTGTCGCATTATGGCTTCCATGGGGCGCGGAGCTCCCTCGAGCGTGAAACGAAGCGCGCGCACGCGCGCTCGCCGAAGGAGCACCTGATGATGTAGTTTGATTTATTCGTTTTTCGTTCCTTTCTTATCAGTCCCAGCGCCGGAGCACAAGAAACCCACCGACTACGTTTCCGGCCTGTTCAGGGTGGAGGCGACCTTGCAGCCACGACCGAGGCGACGGCTCTCCCTGGAGGAGTCAACGGCCTCCTGCGGCGAGGACGCGGATGCGGACGATAAAAAGTAGGTTTTTCGAATCGAAGCCCGCTTAATTAGAGCGTATTTATGAGCCGGCTGGCGCTCCGATATCGCGCGCGCGGGCGCCTTGTCTTCATCCGACTGTGCGAAGGGCCGGGCCGAGATTGCTGTTACGTTGCCGAGGCAGATAAGGCCCCCGCCGTAAATATAGACCAAACGTGATAATTGATAGTTTTCAGCTCGCGAGCGCGCGCGGATTATGTGCTATTAATCAAGTCGCATGTCTCGAAATACGAAGGGGGCTCATTACAAGTGCAAATCCGCGATTCGCCTCGCCCGACTTAATTGGCCCGCGTTGTATCCCGAAGACACCTTGTAATTTTAATGAACGGCCACGCGAAGCTTCTTTTTCCGTTAAAGTCTCGTACGCGCGCGCGACTCTTATTTCAATCTCTTCCCGATCCCACGAGATCTCACGCGCGTTCGCATCGCTCCGTGTGTGGTCGCCGCGCGTGAATCCTTCGAGGATTCTTCTTCGTCTTTTTTGTCGAAAAGCCGCCGAATATACGCGTGTTTATCGTACGCGCGATATCCGGGGAGGGGGGAGGGGGGAGGGAAGGAGACGAATGAAAAAAAGAGAACAAAAAGAAAAGTGACACGCGTCCGAAGATATCTCGTTCCAAACGAGACGCACGTACCAGTTCTTCATTGCGTGTGTCGTTCACGTGGGTGTAAACGGCGAAGTTCCTGGCGGATGCATCGTTAACGAGCCTCCGAGAGATTACCGAGATTTAATTATCTCTTTTTAGCGAGGCGATAAGCGCCGTGATTCGACGGATCGTCGACAGACGCCAGGAACGTGTCGCGCGAACAAACAAGCGGCGAATCCGCCGACTGACGTTTCTTCTTCGCGACTCGCCTCCCCGCTCTCGTGTACAGAAAATAAGATTGCTTTGGATCTAATAAAATTTCTTCGATCGAAACAAATTTGTCTCTTGGAATGGAGCAAACAAACGAATATTTGATTTCTCAAGCAATGAATATCTTTACGTCAAATAATATATTTTTGTATATTTCCCAAAGAAGAGAAGCTCATTTAAGTATAAATATTTAAAAGTAAGAGCTTACAAGCTCTTGTCCTGGTTTTATGTTTTCACTCATATATTAGAATGGTTATCACGAATAATAATTAATTATTTGAATGAAGTAACGTTATATTAGACGAATATTAAAGAACTTCTCTTTTAGCGTGTTTCAGTGGAACAATATTTAATATAATGAAATAAATTTTTCTTTTATTAAAAATCAAACATTATTTCCTTTAAGTACAACATAGTTTATTTTAACGAAAGACCAATATTTTCATTCAAACGATAAATTAAATTTGATATTAAATTGTGTTGTTCATATTAAACAAACCCAAATCAAACAAACACGTATATTAAATCCAAAAGAAACTTTTCCTCCGTGTGTTCACGACTGTTTCCTTTTGAGCTTCAAACTTATCTTACGTACGAAGCTTGCATCGTGCACCGCGAAAGATTGAAATCTCGCTCGTCTTCGACGCGCGTGCTTTTTCAATATTGATGGATATTGTTTTGTCTCTCGTCGTCTCTCGTACCGGCACGTTCGATGTATTTTACGCTCGGTGTAGACGATTCTTCTCTCTTCCGTCGATTCCGTCTGTCTCGCGGCACATCGGGACAATACTTCTCCCGGCACACTCAAGGAGAAAGTACCAAAGCATCGAGAGCGTTGCGTAATCCGCCATAAATGATATTGTCAAGACCAACTACTCAGTGCTCGTTCTCTACGCATCATATTATTTGCCAGTCTCCGACGTATGGCTGAAAGTGACACATCGTATACTAGCAGAGTGCGCGCCGTACTCGACAGCAAGTCGAAAGGGGAAATGGAAACGGGGCCTCCAGAAAAGTAGATACGATCTCCCGTTTTTATTTCGTACGGTCGTAGACGACGGACGGACGGACAGACGTACATCCATCGGAAGTTCTGTGTGCCACATAACAGCTTGCGATCGTAAATTAAAATTTCACGTGTCGGACGAAGTGTGTGCCCAATGACGCGGTAAAATCCCCGTCGGTGACGGGAACGATCGCTCAGCAAAATCGATAACGGAAGAACGGCGTATTATGTCAAATTAGTTTTACCAATGCCGCGAACTTTCTATCATATTTTACGGGAGGTGGAGGTAAAGACGAACGCTTTCGAAAGCGATTTTGAGCAGCGATCAAATCGCAACAATTCCGCACAGGCACGGACATACATGTAGTGTATGCGAATGGTGATAAAAGAAACGATTAAATAATGAAAAGTACGCTCGCTTCCGTCTCTCTCTCTCTCTCTCTCTTTTTCTCGACCGTGTGGTACTTCGTTTCTAATTGATTTCGAACATAACTCTCGGCGGTCCACGCAATGGAAGAATTTTTTAACTAGCGTGCACACTCCGGAATGATGATAGCTCACTTTCCTCTCTTTATCGCTTTCTCCTCTTCAATAGACTCGCCTAGATGCGCGAGATCGCGCACGTTATCATCGTGCGAGTGGTGATAATCGACAGGAACAAACATCCCGTTGAGCCGCCGCGACCTTCCTTCCATCCGCGTGCTCGGGGACTTACCAAGTATTACCAGCCTCGTTACTCATCTCGAGTTGCGAATACAAGCTGCGAATTCCGCGCTGAGGAAGATTCCTTCATATCCGCTCACGAATCATTCCGGCCTCTCTTTCCTCCGTCTCTCTAAAAACGTCGGGATTAATTCAATCGTGACTCACACTCATTGACGCAATTCCTGCCTTCTCGCAACGATTATAGAAGAATTTTTGCATCGATGCTGTGAAACGGGGAGTGACTGAACGGCGATGAGGAAAGGAAGGGGGCAGGGACGCTTAGGCGGCATTAACCGGCCGGAGGTGTAATCATCGCGATGAATTTCTTTCAGGCACGAAACGATACCTTCGGCTCCCGTCACGCCACTGTCGGCTGATCCTACTAGCCCCCTGTCCCCCACTTCGGCTTACTTCACGACGTCCGAGGGAAAGGCCAGGTTCCTGACGAGATACTCGCGGGACGTCACGGTGGAGGGATTAACACGTCAGGAGGATGCGCCGGCGGTTGTACCGACGAACAGCCTTGACCTTAGGCAAAAAAAGGTACGACTGGTAGCCGCGCGCGCGCGGAACGCGGGGGTATAATTGAACGCGTTACAGAGCGTTCTATAATTAACTCCGCCGAGCGCGCGTCTGCCCGCGACTAAATTCGATCGGCACGCGGTTCGCGGGCCGGCGATCGTTATTACCCGATCGCTCGCGGATAAGGACGATAATAAGTATCATTCCCGGGCCGGCCTGCGTGGCATGATCGAGTCTTATGTAAAAGTGTAATTACCGCACTTCGGGACTCTGTGTTATCGCGTACCGCTGCAGCCCAGACCCGTGTTACCTAATCGGTTTCCCACGTGGCGAATCGTTATCTCGGCTGATCGGCTATTCCCTTCTTGTTCGAGAGGCTCGACCGTCGCAAAATATCGCATGTACCGAAATGGTCTTTCAGGAGGAACTGATGATGCGGCTCGACAAGAAACTGGTGGTCCTCAGGGCCGAGCAGGAGGCTGTAAGGGAAGAGGGCGATGTAAACGAGGCTCTGGGTGCGCGAGTCTCCGCGCGCGTTTCCGCCGTGGCTCGTCCGCCGGAAGCGTCCAAGTATCGGCTTCATGTAGAGGAAGTCGGCAAGATTACGAGCCTTCTCCTCGGTCTCAGCGGCAGGTTGGCTCGCGCTGAGAACGCCCTTTATGGAATGCCGGCCGACCACGCGGAGAGAGTAAGTATTGTAACCTCCCGTTTCCTTGTTTGCCCCGGCTCGATCGTTCTTCCGTCCTTCGTGTGTCATCCGTAGCTTGCGTAGGACTCCAAGGAGATACGTGATTATTTCAAATTACCTCTTCTCTGTAAACCGTAATGTCGTGTTATTATACGAGTAGTATTCACCGCTTGATTATCATCTTGGACTTGATTAATCTTCATTAATTTCGTTACACTTGTATAACAATCAGCTAATATCCCTATGTGGTTTGTCTCTTCTTTGGGAGGATACGCGCGACTTTACGTAAATTTTATGAATACACGGCGGTTTATTGATCTTTTCTCTCGATCTTACTTGCAGAAAATTCTGGAGAGCAAACGGGACAAGCTAATGGATCAATTGGAAGAAGCGAAGACTCTGAAAAGTAACATAGACAAGCGCAGCGTGAACGTGTCGGCGATCTTAGCGAAGTACCTGAATCAGGAGGAGTTTGCCGATTACCAGCATTTTATCAACATGAAGGCGAAACTGATAATGGACGGTCGCGAGATACAGGACAAGGTGAAACTAGGCGAGGAGCAATTAGCCGCGTTGAAAGAGGCAATCGACTAGTCGTAACGATGGACTTACACGCTAAGTTATTATGAAATCAATTCGTGTATAACCGTGCATCTTCAAGCGTGAACAATGAAGAAGTTTCGCATAACGAGCCGAAACCGACTCGAAAGCGTAGGTTAATAGGGATGAAAAATTACGGGGACACGCGTAGGTACACTTTGTTCCAAGCCTGGCCCAGTATTGAAAATCCCGGGATTTCTGAGCACGCGCAGCTGCAAATGGCAAATATTGCATTACAACCAAGTATTATGAGCATATGCTTACATTTTTCTTTTATACATAACTGTTGGGTTCTGAACGACCGTATTTTCGAAGCGTTTCTGTATTTATGTCAGACGAAAATTATATTCGAAATTGATTAAATATTTTAGATGCGTTTCTTTGAGATTCATTTTTACGGTATACATTTTTTACGATAAATTTATATTAGAGCGTGTAAATTTCTGTATTAAAACAAGATTAAAGACATTGTTATTTAAAGTGACAGATAACGCTATTAAAAGAAAGACAAAAAGAACGCAAACGTTGAGTGAATTTGGTGCACACGAAGGGTGATCGGAATTTTCTTTGCGTATAATGTGAAATCACAAGTCGCAGGTTGAACCCAATGTCCTCACGAGCCAAGTGTGATCCCGAAGCCTTAAGTGCCTAGTCTTTGTTAAGCTTGCGTCGATTTTCTCGTGTTCCCCCAGTGAACCATGAAGAGCGCAATATTTCGCCGACATATCGCGCGACTAAGGAGAATATCACGAGGCACTGCGATATCAGACGATTGAAGACTAAGAATGTATCCTTTACGCTTCCGGACTTTGTTTTTGGAAGAAGACCGAAATTGTACCTTTTTTTTGTCGTAGCACAGAGATGCGTCTGTAAATACAAATTACCAGGTACGATGCGTAGTCTTTAGAAAGTCTGGAAAAAGACGGAACGCGCGCGTAACCAAAAGACGAAGACGACGAATCGTTATCCAGGTTTCATGACGTTGTGCGAGGAGTAATATACGACTCTCATGTATACACATATCTGTACTATCCTTCGTGTACCGATCAACGTTGATAATTATCGAGTAAAACGATGCTCGACAATTGGAAACGTGTCGAGCGATATTAAGGATATATATCTCGGCGAAGTGTCAAAATTTTAATATATTCATTAGAAAAGGAAACACGCGTATCTTATGTATTTCGAGTCTAAGCTTTGCGCGCGATTTGTATCCAGAAGCGCGCCGATGACGCGGTGCGGTGTAAGTAATGCTCCGATGCAACATTCGTCCACGATCGTGCACGATTACGGACGCTCGGAGGTGCGCGATTAACTGACAATCGCGAGTTGCGAGTTCAGACGAGCTCTGCGCGAAGGAAGCGCGTAAAGATGCCACCGAGGGCTCGGAAAATGCACACTGTACCGATTCACAGTGAGTATACACTGAGAGCCATGAACGAACAACGAACGAACGAGCGAACGTGTAATATGAACGTGTATATTTGCGTCTAAACGCGCGCGAACTTTTTCCGACGAGCCACCTTATGAGCAAATCGGCCCGGAAAACCTTCAGTTTGGATTCGTTGTGGCGTACGCATTTCCCAAATTGCAACAACGAAAGTTGTTCAAGTTCGCTGTTCGTCCCTTGGTCGTACGCTCAATGTATACCCAGCTGAATAATTCGTTGTTCGCGGCGTACGAATCACCGGATGGTCGATTTAGAATTACTACGTGGTGCCTTCTTATTTACGACATGTGATACGAGAGTAAAGAGGAGTTCACGTTCTCTGCGCGCGGCGCCTGAATCACCGAGCGTTGCGGGCAACTTGTATTTGTATATAGTAATAAGTAGGTTAAAGCGCATACACACATACACACTCACACTACTCCTGACACGTGAAACACGTACACATGCGTACTTATATACACCCATGCGCGCGCATATGCGCAAACACTTGTACAACGAAGTACTATTTTTACGTATTGTTCTAACCCCCGGGGGTCCTCGTAGACCCCTATGACGCTTGTGATCTTATTTACTCTGTACGACCCCACCAAGGACTCTCGAAAGTAACGTGATATCGCGCGCGTCGTATTTCGAGCCTCCATGGTGGTCCAGCGAGAAATTTTATGCCACGGTCATTTCGATAAATTCTCATATCTCGTCTCAATGTTCCGCCGTCCCGTTTCTACGTCCCTGTTTGTAATCCCCACGCGTCTTCTCTGCTGCCGACTGCCCCCTCCCCGCTCGTCGCTACTCTACCGAGGGCGGAGAAGAGATGAAACATGCGAAATCACACGGAAGGAGAGGTGGTCCTCCGAATCTTTGGGCTCGGTAATGAGACATTTACCGTGGATCCAAGGATCTCGAGACGGAATCCATCCCGACCGCNCCCCCCCCCCCCGTATGAGAGGAGCGCGACTCGAAGAACATCCGGTTTCGTTCATCGGTCTCGTGCGCGTTACGTAAAGGATATTAACGTGATAATATCAATGCGCTTTGATCTCAGACGGTGTAACTCGGGTCGCGGATAATGAAGAGAAATGAGAGAGAGAGAGAGAGAGAGCGTGTCACAAGCCGGGACCGGACTGTCACAATGAACAAGGATCGCGCGTGAGAAAGACTGAGTACAGGGCATAAAATTTTGCGGCATAATAGTCAGTTTCTGTTCCTCGTTTGTTTCTCGATGTCCGCGAGTCGGCTGCGGCGGATAGTATAATGATCTTGCCGTTCGACCGGAAGCAGCAGCAGCCACTATGTTGTAACGCAAGCAGCGCTGTACCGCGCGGCGGCGGCGACGACGGTGTCGGATGCAAAATGGTCAGCCTTTTATCGCCGCCTCGCGCCCGTTCGCCGTGGGTAAGACGCGGCTGTTGTACATAACAAATTAATCGAAAACATGGTGCTCTGGATATCTATTTTTTACGAGAAGAAACGTTCCATTAATTCGTAAGCTATCATTACCACTTAAGGACATTAATATTTAACATTCTCGCTCTGTGTACATATTACCACGTATATAGGTTTTACGTGATGCGACGGCAACATAATAATTACACATACAACTCGCGCGTCACCTATAAAAGCGACGACGCTAGGTCGTTGTTAGTCTGATAATATTATCCCATGCAAATGTACTACAAGATCATTTACGGTAACTACGTTTCTCAAACTTGCTTGCAATAAATAACACGTTGGAATTTCAACGAGATGTGTGTATCTTTCTGCAACGAGACACCCGTTCGTATCACTAGCGAGGATACGGTATTCCAGACAAGCCAATTCTAAGAATGAGCTTAGAATTAATATCGGAAGTGCTCTGTTACGATAGAAACTTAATTATTAATGTTCAGTCGTGCGTCAATCATCTCCTATGCGACTCGCACGGCTAAATATAACTGGAAATCATAAAAACATTTTCGCGAATCTTTTTAACAATAATTCGTCTTTCATTTGATCGTTCCAGCCTCTTAAGATTTTTTTCACGTCAAAATCTACGTTTTATTTAAACAAGTAGCGAATCTATCATGTAAGAATTTATATCCTAAAGCTTTTGGAGATTCTTTATTTCGAAAGAATTCTACTTACATTGTCTTCCATTATAAAGCGATTAAAACTACAATTTAGTGAATTAATTTATAAATATTGAACATATTTGTCAATCATTAGGCTATAACATCGGAGATTATTTGTACTATCGACTAATGGTATTTTAATTCTGCCTTCGTGGTCCATAACGCACAATTAATCTACTTCCTCGATGGTCGGACCGGTGTTACCGGCAGCAGTTTGCCCGCCGCATCGCGAAGACCTCGGTACAGCACCGGCGGATTCGTAGAACTTCGTCATGATAGGCTTGCATACCTGAAAATGATTCCTTTCGTTATGATACAGTGCATATATTAAACGATTTTCACGACGCGTCGCTTAATTATCAGTTATCGGTAGAAACAGAGATAGAAACTCGAGGATACTTTTTAGTAATAGTAGACAGCAGAATAAGTATCATCAAATGTAAAATATCGCACCAACTGTACACTTGCAACTTTATACGGAAAACCATAAGAATAAGGTTACGAAAAAGACATTTACGTTGTGTTTGAAAAACATTATGATCTATCCGGAAGAAATCTATGTATTCATTTTGTAGTCACTTTGCTGAACACAATAGCATAAGCGTTTGGCAAGAACGAAATATAAAACAATTATTCATGGCAATTCGTCATTGAATTAATTAATGCTCGCAGTTATTAATTAACTTTATTGAGTACATTAATAAAAGAAGACATCAGTGTGAACAATGAAAAAATACACAGAACAAGCAACGCATGCAAAAGAAGATTTGGAAGGGAAATTATTTATAAATTAGTAACAACTCTCATCGATCTTTTCACGAAACCACAAGTATAATTCATCCTTTTGGACGGTCTCGGATATCATAAAACGACAATTACACATCTATCTAAATGCATAAAACTTGTCTCATCAAACTTATCTTTCCGCTATGATTCAAATGTATTTCGGTGAAAGCGCCGAGAAAGCGACACTACGTAAGCCCGATGCATAGAAAATCACATCGACGCCATTCCACTTTCCGTGTCTTTCCCATTCGGACGCGCACCATTACTATATGTGTGAGCGCGCGCTGTCGGGTAAAAAATATAGAAGTACCTTCTCGGCTTCCTGCAGCTTCGCCTGGTACTCCTCCTTCGCCGCCAGCGCGTTAGTGTCCATCCACTTGATAATCTCATTGCACTTCTCGCCGGCGCGCTTTCGATCAGCCTCCGGTATCCTCTCCTTGACCTTCTCCTCCTCGACCGCGCTCTTCACGTTAAAGCAATATGACTCGAGGTCGTTCTTAGCCGCGACCCTCTCCCTTTGTTTCTCGTCCTCCGCGTGATATCTTTCCGCTTCGTTCACCATTCGCTCGATGTCTTCCCTGCTAAGGCGTCCCTTGTCATTGGTGATCGTTATTTTGTTCTCCTTGTTCGTCGACTTCTCCACCGCGGAGACATTCAGAATGCCGTTGGCGTCAACGTCAAATGTAACCTGCGGGACCGAAGGGAATTCCGTGGAAAAAAATCGCGACACCCTTTCCTCTCTCTCTTTCCCTCCGACCGCCCACCCCTTCGGGCCTAGCCGGCCGTCTGCTTTCGATTTCTTTCGTTCCCCTTCGGTTCCGTTCCGTTCGCCGACCAGTATCCGGATGCTTATCCGAACGGTCTGACAATTCCAATAGAGCCGATTTGTGCGCCGATGGCAACGGGCAGAAAAGGAATCTCGAGACACGAGAATCGCCGCCCTCTGCCTCTGCTCTTATCCTTTGAGCCGACCTATACATCCTCGCCCCCCGAGGATTCTTCCTTCTCTCTCCTCCCCCTCTTTCACCCCCATCTCTCTCCTTTTTTTCTTGCTTTTTTATTACAGGACTCGTGTCTCGGTACAGTCCATTCCGGGCCTATTGCCTCGCAGGATTGTTTTCTTATCTCCGACGTCGATCGTCGGAAACGTTTATTAGCGGTTTTAGCCCCGGAGGCTCCCTCTTTTAATTACTGATCGGCGATCGTTAAAGTGGTCAACCGCGGCAAAGGAAGGCGCTGCGGCGTGGATCCTCGCGAAGAAAGCAATTGTCTCCTCGCGCACAACGAAACGGCGACGCCGGCCGCCGAATACGAAGAAACACCATGCGATTCTGCCGTTTAGCAGTGTATTATTTACCTCGATTGAAACACAGCGCTTCGCCGCCGCCTCGATACTCCGATATATAACAACCCTCCGGAGTTAGCATTCGGAGATAAATTAATCGCACTACAGTATTCAATACTCAAACTTCGCGGAAGCGAGCGAAGTTTGTTTCGTGAGGATTTTACATAATGTTTCTCCCAGGGAAAGGTTACGATAATATAATTCGACGCGGCTCCGGACGAACGGTATTGTTTCTACGCCGGCTTCAAGTATATCAGGCTTCGGAACAATCTTTAGATGCACTTTCCTTCGTGATTCGATTAAAATTTACGATTATTACGAGAAACTGAATAAGAATCGGCAGAAGCGAGGCGGAGCCGCTTCGCAGGAACGTTCGAATCAATAGAACTGGAATGTCTCCCCCTTTTTTCCCCCGGCATCTCGTGCATCCCTAAAACCGGTATCGCCTGACTCCGTTATATTTCGTGAAACCTACTTCGATCTGAGGTAGGCCGCGCGGCGCTGGCGGAATGCCGAAAAGTTCGAACTTCCCTAAAAGGTTGTTGTCCTTGGTCATCGCCCTCTCCCCCTCGTAAACTTGTATCAGCACGCTCGGCTGATTGTCGGAGTACGTTGTGAACGTCTGCATCTGCTTCGTCGGGATCGTCGTGTTGCGTTTGATGAGAGCCGTCATCACACCGCCGGCCGTCTCGATGCCGAGCGACAGAGGCGCCACGTCAAGCAGCAGCAAGTCCTGCACGGCTTCGGACTTGTCGCCCAGCAGGATAGCCGCTTGAACCGCGGCGCCGTAAGCCACTGCCTCGTCCGGGTTTATGGATTTGTTTAACTCCTTTTCGTTGAAAAAGTCCTGAAATAGAGGGAGAAGGGGGAAGAGAGGGCGAGTCCATCGAAAATTAAGCGTTATCGATCTCCGGAATATCGGCAGGCGAAACGAAAATACATTCGTTCCCTTCACGGTGGGAATAACAGCAGGGGTGTCTGTTGATTTTGTCATTCAGCTCATTAATGCTGTAACGAACACCTGGGAACAACCCTCGTGTTTTCTCTGCGCGCTCCACCCCCGCAACTTTTCTCCGCGTTAGGACAGAGGAGGAAGGAGGTGGAGGAGGCGGCGCATGGAAATTGAATCGTATTTTAACGCGTTTTATCGCCGAACCTGTATCGACATTATCTCGACTCTTATCGCGGGAGATTCAGTCAACGATTGTTAATTCGCGCGATTAACCTTGACAATAACATGTTAGACCGTTTCCTTCCGCTTACCCCCTCTTTCACGTTTTGTGCAAGACGCTGAGTGATACTAAAGTAATAATAAGAGTAAAAGTAATTTACGATTAATTAATCGGGCAATATTAATCGATACCTGCAGCAGCTTTTGTATGCGCGGTATTCTCGTGGAACCACCGACTAGCACTATGTCGTGGACGTTTGATTTATCCATTTTAGCGTCGCGCAGCGCCTTCTCCACTGGCTCCAGGGTGTTCTTGAAGAGGTCTTGGTTCAGTTCTTCGAAACGAGCGCGCGTGATGGAGGTGTAGAAATCGACGCCGTCGAGCAGAGCGTCGATTTCGAGGTTGGCCTGCGTAGACGAGGACAGGGTTCTCTTGGCACGCTCGCAGGCGGTTCTCAACCGACGAAGGGATCGCTTATTCTTCGTCAGGTCTTTCTTGTACTTCCTCGCGAACTCTTGCGCGAAATATGTGACCAGACGATTGTCGAAGTCCTCTCCGCCGAGATGGGTATCACCGGCCGTCGATTTCACCTTTCGTTTCAGATACCGATTAAATACCATCGATCAAATGCGTTGAATCCGCAAGATCATCGAAGGTACGTCAAAAAGTCTCAACTGGGGCAACAGTTTCCAAAAATAGCATGCCATTACACTTACTGTGTCGAATTTCCTTATTGTAAAAATTCCCTGATAATAATCGCGACTAGTCGGAAATAATGATAAAACAATCCCCAACGTAGAAGTCATTCTCTCCGACGCGGCGGAGGCCATTTATTCTCGCGAATGTGCGGCCGTATTGGGACACACGAGCCACCGCAGACTTTTACCTCAAATATACCATCGTCGATAGTCAGTATCGATACGTCGAAAGTACCGCCGCCGAGATCGAAGATCAGAACGTTCCTTTCACCGCGACCCTTTTTGTCGAGCCCGTAAGCGATGGCGGCTGCGGTCGGCTCGTTAATGATCCTTAGGACGTTCAGGCCGGCGATGGTACCCGCGTCCTTGGTAGCCTGACGTTGAGAGTCGTTGAAGTACGCCGGCACCGTGATCACGGCGCTCGTGAGGCTCGCGCCCAAGTAAGCCTCCGCAGTTTCCTTCATCTTGGTCAGGACCATCGAGGAGATCTCCTCGGGAAAGAAAGATTTCACCTCCCCCTTGTAATAATACGCAACGAGTAATTAATGGAGCGCTACGAGGATGAAAAACATTTATCCGGATGAAACTTATGAAGAAAGGAACGTGCTTAGTCAGTATGACCGGCCCGCTTCTCCGCGCGCGCGCGCGCGCGCAGACAGCTATTTTCTTTTCTCTTTCATTAAGCGTATCTCAGTGGAGCGGCCTTTTCACTGCGATTTATTTATATAATTAATGCGCTCACTTTATATCGCAGTCGGATTTTCGGCTTGCCATTGTCGTCGACGACAGCGAAGGGCCAGTGCTTCATGTCGGATTGCACCGACGGATCGTCGAACCGTCTGCCGATCAATCTCTTGGCATCTGCAAGACGATCTCGTTCGGAAATTTGCGCGTATTCGCTACTTTAGTTCTGGAGTACACAATTTATAGCGTTCAATAGAACATCGGAGTTTCTATATTCGATATTTTAATTAAACAAACGCGATCCTTCTCCGAGATATATATTAGTAAATCGTTAAACGTGAATATATATCAAATTGTTAAATGAGAGTCAAATTATATTAAGTGGATGTCAAATTATAGTTTCTTGCTATTGGTAAAATTAATGGAGCCGTACAGATTTTCAATAAATATTGTCACGAAATTTGCACTCTTTAAACGTATCACTTTATCGTGCAAAGATAGCCGATTAAATTGCGTCGAGATGTAGCCGACTAATTAGAAGAGAACGCGAGTCCAGCTAGAACAACTGTTCCAAAAGGAAGCGATTACGGCTATTGTCAACGTCATAAACATGGTCTGTTATAGTGGGCCGACATGGACATATCCTCTAGATACGTATACGAGCGACAATAGATATCTCTCTCTCTCTCTCGAGGGCGAGTCGATTTGGCGGCGCCGAAACGAGCGCATTACCGACTTCACCGAGAGTTCCGGCGCTCGTACCTTCTCTCGCCGCTCTAAACACGGGAATACTGCAACTGCTGGAGTGGAAACAAAACTAAAAATCCGTATACCCCTGGAATGAGCCCGCGTTTGTGAGTAACCGTTGCCAAATCGCGCGATTTCGGCTGGACTGTCAAAATTCAAATCGAGATTATCGCCGCGATTGCACGCGAAAACCAATCTCGCGAAGACTATCGGAACTGCGCGTCTGGGAATTCGCGAAGGAAGCCAGTCGACGTAAAATCGCGCAGGGACGGCCGTACAAAACTCACCGAAAATTGTATTCGTGGGATTCATCGCCACCTGATTCTTCGCCGCGTCGCCGATTAGCCGTTCGGTCTCCGTGAACGCGATGTAGCTCGGCGTAGTGCGATTACCCTGATCGTTGGCGATGATCTCCACTTTGCCATGTCGAAAGACCCCGACGCAGGAGTACGTTGTGCCCAGATCGATTCCGATCGCCGGCGCCGTCATTGCGGACTTTAGATTTTCGAGTTAGACTGACGTGGACCCCAATATCGTTGAGTCGCGATTCCGTTGTTTGTCTCACACGTCCTCGTCGCGTTGTCTATTGTCCTGTCAATTTCAGGTCTTCTCCGATCCCGAGCGTCATGATCGCAACGATGAATTGTGTAGAAACCGACGACCGGTTGCACCCTTGTGCCAACGTCACCGTTGATTCCCGTTAAATCGATTCCCGTAAAAATGGAAATATCAGAAAATTACACTACGCAAAAAATAAAGAAATTACGAATAAGTAAAAATAATTTTCACGAAGACCACATCGATTTAAGTATTGTCAAAATATTGCAAGTTATGGATTTTGTGTGTGCACTTGACATGTGACACTACCGTGTCTTTAGATTTTTACCATTTGAGGATATAAAGGATTTAAAGTAGTTGTATCGTAAAATGCCATATTTTCAGTGGCGCGTCACTGGGGCCACTCATAAATTTAGTATTTATTATCAAGCAATATCATGCATCAAAATTACGTTCCTATAGATTTATTTGACTATCTAAATAATAAATATTAATTTGAAACGAAGTTGAGGTAGACATGTATATACAATATTACAAACATGAAAATATATTATTTTTTTATTTTTCTTATTAATGCCATTTTTATGCATCAGTTGATTTCGTAGAAATGCACAAATAATGCATAGAAAGAATTCTATAAATGTTTAAGTATAAAAGTGTCATGTTTAGTTGCGAATATCTCAGCTTCCGAATGGTCAACCTATTTATAATTACGCCAATAATTAGGTCATATTTAAAAACTCACTTTATGCTACAACTACTTTAAAAATGAAAATATTTTCTGAAATGTACTTAAACGTAAACACAGGTGGAAGTGTAATTGCGTATGTAGACCAAAAAAAATCGGTAAAATATTGCAAACATTGGCAAATATGGGTTTGTGTGTACATAACCGACAAATATATTGGCAAAATAATTGTTTGTAGTTGTTAACTGTTTAAAGGAAATTCAATATTTTTCGGTAATATTGTTTGATATTTTCTCGTCCAAAATATCGAATATTCGATATCAATTTTTCCAGTCACTCCGCGTTATCGCGCTCGGCGACACGCGCGTTGATTACTAACAATATTTTAATTATTATATATTCGATTAACAATTAATACAACAGGCGCAGAAGGTTGATTAAAGTGTTGATTACCGAGGCCGATGGCTGCAATTACACGGTTCTTTGTAACGCAGAAACTAGAGCGCGCCAGCAAAAACACGTATGTGAGGTAAATGTAATTTTAACCAGCTTAAAATCCTGCCCTGCATGACAATTTTGGAAACAGCCGGGAAGGTTTGATGTGAATCATACGTAAATTCGACACGTGACACGTTGACTCCCTCGCTATCGCATAATCTGAAGGGGACCGAGCGTTCGTGACCAGCGTCGTGAGTCGAATAACGAACGAAGGGTGGTAGTCGCGCAGCCTATCCCTTTTATGACGTCATAATAAAGTTCCGATATCGCTCGACGGTTCTCTTCTATCCTTTGATGACGAGATCTTGCGAGCTCATCGTTGACTGTTGTAATCATACTCGCTTGAACTGATGCAAAATCAAATTAGCAGCAAGTTAGATCATATACTAAAATTGATATGTGCTGCACATTAAGGAAAAAGATATGTAAAAATTTATCTGAAGGTTATAAGATTTATTTCACAGAAATTCGCAGAAATAAATCTTATTTCTACAAAATAAATATTGTTTCTGTGAAATAAATCTTATATCCCACAAGTGAATGTTTAAATACTTTTTTTTCAGTGGCACTGAAAATAAAATAAACCTTATTTCTGTCAAATAAACCCTATATCTCCACACATATAAATTTTTAAGCATTTTTTTCTCACGAATTTTTAAATATTATTTTCTCGTCACTATGACTGTCATCTGGACGATTCTACAGTTCAATAAACCAAGATAGACCAAGATATTTCTTCAATATTCGCAGAATAATCTTTTCATTCGGCAATTATAACCGTGCAATTTTAAAGAATTAACTTGCCATTATATCACAAGGGGTGGATCGCCTTCGAATTTTGATCACATCAAAGTTGCGGAGCAATCAACTCCGACGCGATCGAGAAACGCTATATACAAGATTACGAAAATTTAGCAGCTCTCGATCCCTCTTTTTATAAAGGCATTAAGAACCACTTAAACACAGATGGTACTATACCGTGCGATCAAGATGGAAGGGTCGGTGTGCGGCTTTACGTCTTCGTTACTTCAGCTTCTTACCTTGAACGCCAAGGCAGGGAGCGTAGCCGATCGATTACCGCTTAACCGAGTTAATTCGGGAACGTGTATCGTGCTTACATTCCGGCTACGGGTACACGTACGCGTATGCCAAAAGGTCCGCCCCAAACTAGTCCGTCGTCGGCAAGGAGGGGGTTTTAACGAGACGCCGCCAGGACGATAAATCCAGCTACGTGGAAAACAATGAATAGCTCCACAGAGAAAGCGAGAGAACGGAAGAGAGCGTGTGTGGGAGTGTGTGTGTGTCGTACGCTCTTAATAATTCGCTTACTTCGCCGCGACGTCAGCATGCGGGATGAAACGACGCGAGAGATAAGAAGATAAGAAGAGCGAGGGAAAGACGTGTACGTGCGAGAGAAAGAGAGAGAAATAAGGGGGGAGGGGGGCAGGAAAGCGGAGAAAGTATTCGATAAGTTCCGCCTCTTGCGTCGCACGAGATAGACGTGCGAGGTACAAGTCGGGAGTGACAAAGAGAGTCGAACCAAATATCGAGATTGGATCGAGGGGGCCCAGCCCTCGTAAATATGTCGTCAGGCCGGTAAACAAGGGCGCATGAAGCCGGTACAAGCCGCACTTCCGCGCTCGCCGCGCATACACATACACGCCGCGGTGGAAGCGGAAGCGGTCGGCGGTCGTGGTCGTGGCCGCGCACCGACCGGGATTTAAGTCCGGGAAATTTATCGTTCCGCGAGGAGGCGGACAGAAGCGACGAAAGGGATGACACGGGGTTGCGCGTGTTGGCGAAAGGGGGCGGAAGAGAACGCGCGAGAGGAATAGAGAGAAGACAGAGAGAAAGAGGGGAAGGAAAGGAGAGAGAGAGGGGGAGGGGGAGGGCGAGCGACGCAGGATAACGGTGGGCCAGGAAGAGGAATATAGACGGAAGCGAAAAGCTCTGGCGGACGATCCAAAAGCAGTCGTCTCGAATCTTGTTCTAGCCGCGATTCCTGGCCGCGATTCAACGGCCGATTTTCACAATCTGAGCCCGGTCCGATTTCCTCTGCGCGGTTATATTAATATATCGTAATGCAGGCTACATTAATATTGTAATCCTGAATGGAAATTTTAGTCCTGGTTTAAGTTTAATATGGTTCCACATTAAATATTCATTTGAAGACTTAATGTAGAACCACAATTTAGATTCTGGAGGACTAAAATCCCTTTGTAGTATTAAAGGAGCACTTATTGTGTCCCTTTGAAACTTACAAGTGTGAACTTATTTCCGTATTCTCCGCTTGAAAAACTTAATGTAGGATTTAAAATTTCGACTCGGGACAGTGCAAAGGTTTAATGTAATTTTGAAGAAAACCCTTTAACAAAGTGCTGAAGCGTGACTCGATGTGTCAAAGGTCACCTGACCATGGCACGTGCAAGGAGTCGCAACGTACGTGGGTGTGTATCTCGAAACTCGGGTTTCGAACGAAGAGTGACAGTTCAAATGACATTACAACAGGTCACGAATTTGGGAAGCCTGTAACGCATGGATTAATCGCGTTGTGAGTAAAGTGTAACGAAGTAAAATGCAATCAACGTGAGACGACGCAGAACGGTTACTACGAAATTCCGTGTGCGGAAGGACACGTGGCGAGTTGGGATGCAGCGACGAATTTCGTCGACGGAAGTGACCGTACGTCGACGGATTTCGACGCGCGATGGTGAGTGATGAGTTTAAGCAGAGTGTCGTACGATGTGTACGTATTCGCAAATTCGATTTCCAACGGAAAGAGTAAGCGCAGTCACACGCTGCTGTTTAAAAAACTCCGTCGACATTTGAATAAATGAAGAAATTAAGTAAGGCTTTGAAAAAACCAAAATCATGAGTACAGAGCCATGGAAAGCCAATGCACAATAGACATAGTGTAATAAGAAAGTAAGACAAAAAGAATGCTGATAATTTGGACGCTCGAATAAATTAATATATTGAAAGTAATTTTGGAGATGCCTTGTGTAAAAGAAACATGTCATTTATGCCTCATAATACGATGCTTTTCTCAACTTTTATATGGATAATATAAATTTATATCCGTTGAATCTCTAAGACGAGAAGAAATCGATCATCGGTGAAGATACTCAATGTGAAACGATACGACTTACCTGTCGTACACAATCGAAATATTGGAAAAAACAACATCTAGGTTTTTTAATCATTATTTAACCGAAAACTGGTGAGAGAGAAGAAAGCCCCACGTCCCGGTGATTTTTCAAAAATAAATCGATCGAATATGGCCGAATACGGTAAGGGGCTTAGCAAATCGTGTGCACACGCTGCAACCAATATGGTGGTCGCGCAACATCGAGGCGATATAAATCCTGAAACGCTTACAGTTATTGCAGATCCAACGTAATATCCACTCGAACATTGCCCAGGCGGTTTACGCGGTAATTCGCCGATGACAACGTCGCGATAAAATGAAATCGGTCTATGGCTTTTATAACGGGTTTTAGGCGCGACGTAGCGCCACGCCGATAGTCGTAATCGTTAACATCCCCGCTGTTTCCCGCTAAGGAAAATCGACCGAATGAACCGGAGGGTAGGGGGGAGGGGGTTAAGATAAAACGAATACAGCATGATTTTTCCGAATGCAAAACCGCGTTTTCGAATCTATTCCGCTTTCAGCGCCGTATCCTCCGAGGAAACGCAACTCGGTCCTGAAATAAGCCGAGTTGACGTAACACCACGCTGTATCGTG